AATTGTGCGGTCGGACGATTGTTATCGGTAATTCGTTCCTCTTACCGCGTCTGATGAGAGAATTCAACGGCGGCGATCGCATGCGAGCGGTGCTGCACGCTACAAGTCAGTATATTTTGTCTACGCAGAAACTTTTTTGGATGTCCTCGACGATGATTCTCGAACAATTGTATATTATAATATAATATTGGCCTGCTCGATCTTTAGGAGCGTAATGACAAGAATGTAATTAATTAACGGTTGATACAAAGTACATTTAATCGAAGCTAGGCGTTTAAGTGCGAGTGAGGCGAATACAAAGTGAGTGTAGATTTAACGTTCTTATTGAGCTTATTTATTACGTTATCATTAATATGCATTGTACATATAGACCGATAATACATGATTCTAGTTTTTAATCGATCAGTAATAAATTGAGGATGATAGAATTAGGTCGCGTTTTAGGATTTCCAGATGGAAAAAAAACCGATAATCGAGGGTGGCACGTGTGAGATTTTTTCGAGGGGTCTTCTTTTCTTTTTTTTTCTTCCGTTTTCTCTTAACGTGCGGTCGCTGCGAAAATGCGGCCACCGCGGCCTCTATCATTCAGCATTCGACGCGCATAATCGCCACGCCACGTTCCTGTTACACATATGCAAGATTCTCTCCGCACTGCTGGCAGGAAACCTTTCATTCGTGGTTGCGCAAGAAACAGCGAACAATGCTTCGAAGCGATCATATAATATGTCAGAACTATACCTTCACGCGGATAATAATGTGTTTCGATTTTTCAGGTATTCGATTCAAACAATATTCATATTTTCCGGCTTTTCGGTATTTCGAACCTACGTGATTCGGATGAATTTGAAACTTAAATTTTATTTATTCTGACATTTTAAATCAAGACTATTTAGAGTTTATTTGTTATTTCAGAATAATCATATTTTTATCTGAAAATAAATATGTTTACCTCGGAAATAAAAATATAGGAATACACAGATATATAAAACATATATATATAATATATATAATATATATATAATATATATATAATAAATTAATTCTAAACAGTTTCGATTTTATTCCAAGCTAATAAATAAAATTTGAGAAACTCATACGAACCAGATGTAAAAGGTTTCTTGAAATATAGAACAGTGTAGAGAGTGTGATTGTTGCTCCTATATCTTATTATAGTTGTGCATGTGAAAATCAAAATGCGTGACTATCTGCTTAGAGATACTCAGGGTGTCCCACATCTAAAATATCACTTGTTAACGGCAGATTGTATATTAATTTATATTAATTTTATTATCCTTATCATGTGAGATTTGCTCTTATATATATATATATATAGAGAGAGAAAGAGTTATGTTTGCATAATATTTTCTTTATAAATCGTGTAAAATTTTAATAAGAAAAATAGTTTATATTTTTTATGGAAAATTTTATATAAGAAATTTTGTCATTATTGCTATAAATTATTATTCGGATTATTACTGTCGCAGTTGTTTTATACATTTTCATACATAATACTTGAACATTGTTCAATAAGAATAGAAATACAAAATAAAGACAAGAGGATGTGTTAAATTTTATGTATTTTTACTTACTTGGATCATAGAAAAATGTTTGTTGGCATGTGAATTAAAATTTTATTATGCATTATTATTGTTATGGAATTTCTCAAAATATTTAATCTTTTGCAAATCTAGCAAATACACATGAGAACTATTTTATTGTCCTAACTATATTTACAGTAAAACTTCCTTATTTAACATAATATGTAAACGAGTCTCTAATACGCTATTTTGAAACGTATTGTTTTTCACTACTCCTCTGTGGTGTCATCCGTTTATTAATCAAAGTGAGACAATAGCAGTTCTAATCGTCGCAAAATCATAAAGTTTCTTGCAAAACATATTGCAATACAATTCTATGCGAGAGAATCTTGCAACAAAAATATGATTTCTCCTTGATGAAATGTATATATATTCTTTTAAAAAGTTGAGGAAATGTATATATATACAAGTTACGCGAAATAAAGTACGCGTTTTATCGTTTAAATATTCACGCGGCAACTAAACGTATGGACGCCGCATACATTTGTATATTCAGACACATTACACATAATACACACACACACAAACATACACAAAAAATAAATAACAAATGCAACAACAATTTAAACGTACGCGTATGCGCGCGAATGCACGAATGAAGGCATAGGTATTATATGTATATTGACTATATATAACACTGCGTTATAAATAAAAAAAATCTATAAATATGATATATATAATAGTATAGACATACATAATACTATAATATAAAAAAAGTACTTGTCGGTACGTTATACATATAAATGCTTTATTTTACTAAGGATATTTTTGATATATCTATATATATAAATATATGTATATTGAACTAAAGAAACAAGGCAGATCACTGGCGATATAGTGATTGATGAATATAAGTATTGTTAAATCGATGTACGATGATGTATTCCTCAAATCGCAAACAGCCGTTATGTGGAGCGTGCCGCAAATAATGTATCTAAAAACCGATCTATTTATGATAATTTATAAGAATCTTTTTTCGCAAAAATTTCATGAAACTTCGCACATTTTATTAATTGTAAGTTTCTAAGTTCTAAGTTTCTCATTTACGTCGACAATACTTTGGCAACATCGATTCACTCCATTTATATGCCAATCGCGTGCTGCATGCATTTTTGTTTTTGTATCTTCATGGCGCACTCCACGGTACGGCGTTCACCACGTGTGCATACGTGTGTGTGATGCGATGAGGAAGGGAAGAGTTTGCGAATCGCGAACGAACGAGAACTGAGTTTAAGTTTTAAGAATTCTATTTTTCTGGCGGCAGAAATTGTAATTATCGTAAAACGCACGTCGAACGGACGATATTGACTCTTGGAGACCGATCACATCAACATCAATCAGTGATGATCATCATTGTGATAAGATGTGAATTATACGCGTCGGAAATTATTTATTTTCATTTTTTATTTCTCATAAAAGATTATTGGTAAGAAAAAAAGTAGGAGGTGTAACGATCTTCTAATTCGTCATAAAATAAGTGCTTTTAAAATTTTTGACAATAATCTCTCTTTCTCTCTCTGCGCAAAAGATAAATGGAACTTGCACTTCGAATCTTCTTTCATACGAATGGCAGTGAAATAAATTTCCCTTCTCCATTTAAGCGAGATGACAGCATTAGTTGCGTTTACTCGATCTCAATTGCGCTAGAACTTAATTAATATCGACGTAAACCTGATTGGTATCATGGATCCTAAGAGTCAACAAGCGTCCTCCCCGAGGATGTCGGAGGGTAATCTCACCCTTGCGATAAAAAGTTGTGAAAATGCGAGTGGATGAAGATACTGCTACGGAAGCTTGGATTAGTCCGATTTTTCATTGCATAAATCATATCAGGATGAAATGCAAACGTTTGTAATAACTTAAAGGGTAAAGAGGGACTGTTAGTGATGATCGATGAGTGAGATAAAGAACTGTATATATATGCAAATCTTATTAGGATTAGGGACAAAATTAAAATTACGTATTATTCATAACATTATTAATTGCATTTTGGTTCGTTTTTTTTCCGCAAAAGAAAATTATTTGCAGTATTGCAAAAAAATGAAACGAGTTTGCTCAAATGTGACTGACACGTTAAAAAAAAAAGCCACAACACGTGTAATGTGAATGTATCATGTGTTCACGATAGCAACAACTTCATCCACTCGTCGTCAATTGACCGTTTCACTTTTTTGGCGACGAGGAGTATCGAGCGTGACTAATCCGGATATGAAAGTTAATCGATTCGTGACTGACAATCGTTTTGACGATGCGTACGCAAGGATACATTTCTTATATGCGCGGCTTCTTTTTCTTTTTATTTCGCCCTTGTCACAAAAATTTCGAGGCATTGCGACTACTTGAGGAGACCGGTGTAAGAAGGCTGAAGAGAAAAAAGCCAGCTGACCTAGCACTGGGACGTTGAGCTTTAATACGAGATAATAATAAAATGAACCCGATGTGAACCTTTGACAATGGTCTAAGGTTTCACTCGAGCAGTTTTTTAAGTTAATAGTTGTGAGAGATAATACTTGTTACAGCGATGTAGTGGTATTACGACCTTATTTAGGAAAAAAAAATTCGCCCTTTGTCGCGAAGAAAGTGAAACGAAAGAAAATATCGCGGCCTTGGCAACGAGCGGATTTCGAGGGTAGTGAAAAATGAGAGTGCAAAAGTGATTGTGATGGAAAATAGAGAAAAAAAAAACAGCGTCGCGTCGCGCAAAATGTTTCGATGTTCTTTGCGTGTGCGTGAACGAATAGTGCGAGAATATTTTTCAGGAAGGTGATATCTCGCCTCTCGCGGAGGCGATATTTTATTAGCACCGTGAGAAAAAGAATAAAAAATGAGGAAACAAAAACCGCTGCGCGCAATCGAAGCGAAACAGAAGCAATAATCGCGCACTTAGATTTAGACGGGTCAGGCCGAGACGTTTTATTACGTTTTTAGAGGCCGAACGACAAAACACGCGGTTCGTCACTCTTGTCTCTCGTCTCGCAAAAGTTTCCCCGATGAAAATTAAAAAAAAAAGCGGAGAAAGTCGCGTCCGATGCGATCGACGAATCGTGAAAACGCATTCCCGTCTCCGCGTGCGCCTTTCTTCCTGAAATTCTCTGTTTAGACCTTAGAAATGTGTTCAGAAGGTCACTGCGAAAATCGAATCGGGATCGGAAATTTGATTGCGACATCGAAATGTTGAACGCAACGCTGGTCTATTTATTTGAGAAATTACAGCTTCAATTAACTTTTCAAAATTTAGGTTTTTTCAGTTCTTGAATTTAAAATCGTTTAAATCAATATTGCTCTCTTAATCCTTTATTTTTCCGATCGAGTATCTGACATGAACAATACAGTCTTGAGGGAAATTCTTTCTTTTAATAAAAAAATTTCGGATATTTTGGACACCTAAGAAAAGAAATGTGACCACAAGTGATATTTCATGCTGTGGAGCCAAAATATTCAGACCTGGGGAATGCGGGGTGCCCATAAAGGATCGGGTCTATATATATATTCGTGTCAGGTACCTTAATAAATGAATTATTAATTGTACGGTTTGAAACCCTGCACGGGCGATTAAGTGATTGAACAAGACATGACCGAGCGATGCGTCAACTTGGTGGCGCGGTCCGATGACTGTGCGGTCGAGAATGCCGACAATTTCCGACTCTCTTCGGTTCTTTTAATTATACTATGCACGACTTCGGTCTAGAATCGCGTCTAGGCTAAAGTGAAGTCTCACGGTGTACGCGGATCACACCGTGCAGACGTAACGCACAATTTGTAACACGGAACGGGAATTCTTATGCGCGGGACTCGAGTGTGTTTTCGCGAGCACGACGAGTGCGTCGTTTCGATCGTTCGCGGCCGATGCCGTTCGTTCAATGATTCTTCAAAGGGGTTGTCACACTCCGATTTGAGGAGACGGTTTGATGTTTAAAACCGCGTGACCAAAGCGCAGATTACAGGGATAGATCCACCGGAGTCGATTCGATCGCTATTATATATATAAATAATTCGCTAATTGAGATCTAGCGATTGCGTTAGGACGGAGATCTGTTATCTCCCAACACGCGATCAATATTCATTGTTGCGTTTTTCAATTAAGATTATTTTAAATAATAAGATTCACCGTCGCGCGACGCTCTTGTGTCCTTGCGTGTTACACGAGTTACACAACATTTGTGTGTATCCTTTATGTTCAATTCTACGCGAGTTAATGCGTGGTATCGTTGTCATTATGAGTGTGATATAAGAGCGGATTATAAACGTCGCGCACGCGATAAAAATCCATCGCAGTTGACATCCGGTATATCGATCCCTGAGAGACGAGAGAGAGTTATTATCACTTCCCGGTCGGCTGAACAAGGACTATCACGGACGACGGGGATGTCGAAGCAATAATCGTGGCGAGCGGACGACTTCCGCTTTTTGAGAGAAATCCTTTTATCCGGTCAGCAGCGTCGATTGTTGGTCGAGAAAAAAGAGGCGATGGCAGGAAAATATCGGAAGGTCCTATCGATGCGAGTAAATGATCTTCAAGGGGGATGGTGGAGGCGGAGGGGCGCACCGAGTGTTGAGACGAAACAGGATGAGGGGGAGGCAGACGAACTCCCGGTGCCTTCTTCTCGGATGCTTGTTCGGTCTTGATGCGTCCATGCTCATCATATACACAATACATACACACATACATGTGTACACACACACACAAACACAGACACATACACACATTTGTGTTACAACTATTATGTTATTTAAATTAATATTAATACACGTTAACGCTAGCATGATAATCCTTTGTTTATTTAGTTTTTAAGTGTAATAGTTATTATAATTAGTTTCTCCATCTCCTTTGTATATATATATATTCGCAAGTCTCAATAAAAAAAAAAATAAATAAAAAGAACAAAAAAACCACCACCAAAGTGTGCAGCATCCCATTTCATTACCACTGCCACTGCGATTTACATAATGTATATGATATTATGTAACGACAAATAAATAATGTATAATATCAAGTGCTATGTCAATTTGTCTTTCTCTCTGCGCGCATGCGTCTTTTCCGTCTAATTCTAAGATGAGAGGAAACAAAGAAATTTGTACACAGCGATTGTTGTTTTTCTGCAGTTTATTTGCAATTTGTTCATATAATTGGTAACTGATCTCGGATATAACTAGTACTAAAAACCTAAACAACGTATGAAACTTTATACATAGCTAATTATCTTAATAGTGCTAAGGCGACTATTTACAAGTAAACGCGCTGAGCCGTTTCTTTTGCGACGTATATCAAGCGTCGGGAGGGATATACACGTGGATTCCGCCACCCATACGTGCATCGCACACATCGTTCTCAGAAAAATTCTGGCCCAGGCGTTCGAAGGAAGTTTGGATCTATCTGTGCATTTGCGTCCAGACGTTTGCCACGGAATTGTCTTAGCCCACATAGTGTTTCCTCTGCTTTTTTTTTTTGTTTCCACCAACTCTTTCGATCGAGAATTTTTTCGATTAAGAATATTATCGAAAACAATGCTTAACGTTAGTTGTACTACGTCGCGAAAACATTTATTTAATTCGCGAATCATTTCCTAATCGACATAGGTTCACAACACCTTCAAAAAATTTGTAAATAGTACCGTTGAAGGAATTTAAATTCAATTTTTTCGACGATCGCCACTTTGCGCTGGAAGGATTTTAACACGCGTTGTTCTTTATCCGAGAAACAGAAAAATTCCTCTACAGAAGTTTCTCCGAACTTAATAAAAAGATATCTATAAGTCGACGGCAGAAGCGACATGTATATGGGAGACACAAATCATTCCGAAACATTATCCAATTCCTTTTAGCACTTTTGTGAGGGATAAATAAATTAAAAAAAGAATTGCATGCCAACGGACCAGTAAATGTGGGCAACTGTTGGATTTTTTTTGCGCGTCATTTTGAATACATTGATTTACTTGGAAACATATTTCATATAGTACCACGTTCGTTGGTTTGTATAATTTTGTAACATTAGAGAACGTAACGCAAAAATATATGTAACTAGTACACATTCGTACGGGACGAACAAAAAGTGATTTAACAAATATAGAACCGCGGCAGTTTCTAAATAATATAGAAATTGCCAATAAAAATCCATCACGGAGAAACGCAAATACAAGAGGAATGAAGATATTGCACTACACAGAATCCGTGAAGAGCTCGTAGAAATACTTGGCCGCTCGACATGACGATTTAATTATCTTCAAACAATATACGATATGTAGTATGTACAACATAATGTTTGTAACGTAATAAACACTCTCTTAACATATAGTTAAATCATAGGTGAGTTTAATTTGAATAAAATAAAGAAGAAACTTCAAGAAATGCCAAGAGTAAAACAAGATTAACAACGTGATTTCAAATTCAAGATGATTCATCTATTCGTGTTGATAATAAAATAATAAAATATTTTTACGCGTGAACAAAGTTCTTGCATTTATTAAACTTGATTGTCGCTTCTCGAATAGGAGCTTTGCATTTATCGCGAAAGTCCTGCTCTAACAAATAAAACGTTCTAAGGAAACGAGAAGAATCTCGTGACCAATCGCGACTGATTTGTGCAGCGATCGAAAAATAATTTATAATTATTAATGCATAATTGCGTTCGTTATGTTTCACTAAAATGCTCGGAGGATGCAAATTTGGCATTATCGATTCATGGAATATAGGAAATCGGGGTTTTCCTCCCACGCTCGAATTTTGATTCCGCAATAAAATGCCGAAGACACCGAATTCCGTGATATTTTCTTTTGTTTCATTCGATAATACGTATATGTACAGAATGATAGCATAAAAGGAGGAAACCACCAGTAGGGGAGTATAGCTATTGCTCGCTACGGCGTCTACTCCTCTCGAACATAAAGAAATATCATTAACAAAAAACTGATACAATAACGTACAATAGCTAAGGCTTGTCGTGGCGTTACACGGTAGCGTGTCTTTCTGTCGCGCATATAAAATGACGTTCGGAGGACATTCTCTGGACTGAATCGCCCCGCATTAGCCTTTGAAAAACATCTCGCTCACATCTCAAAGCGACGAGATTAATATTATTATTAAGAATATGAAATTTTTTTTGTTTCCACATGAGCATTGCGAAGGAGTAAATTTCCTTTATGGCTAATCGGGAAGGATTCGCTGTAGAGTAATGCTCTCGAACGCAGCTCGCGGGGAAGAAGTCGCTTTTGCATTTGCCGTGAAAACTACAGTCGTATAATTGTAGATTTTCCGCGCGACTCTTCCCGCTCTATAATTCCTAGACTATAAAATCGCGCAGAAAGATCGTTTAACGGGATTTGAAACGTCAGAGACACGTGTTTACAAGCGTTTCGTGCGTCTCCCAATAAAACAGCGGCGAAAGAGGGTCGCGATGACATCGCATTTACCTTCAGCAATGTCTAAAGCAACAAAACCGAGAAACTTCGCGCCGAGTTCGACGTTCGAAACGCTTTTAAAGTTTCAGACTTTGCCGGCGACTAAAGCTGCTTTTCGCACGCGTTCATAGTTCTACCGGCATGTTGTTTCTCAATATAATTCATCCTATATTCTTAACGTGCTCTTAAAAATCTATCTGTATATGTACAAACAATGCGTATATATACTCGCGCTTCGTGTGTACGCGCCTGTCATGCCGAAGGTCGCATCGGTGCCGGATGAATTCCCCGTCGACAGAGTACCGTACGTAGGCACGTGTCTCCATAACGCTTCGGTGCTGCAAGGTGCTTCGACGGCGATTTAGCCGCGGGCAAGGTTGGGCGGACAACACGGAGGACGCTGGCGAATACATGAACACTTGAACCATGGCCGTGCATATGAAATCGCCATTAGCGGCGTCAACGATGGCGGATTCAAGAGATTAGAATTAGAACTAAATATATATATATATACATAAAAAAACTAAATTTATTATAATTATTCTATCTGAGAAGGAAATAATTGCGATAAAAAAGAAATAATTATAAGGAAAGAGAATGATTGCATGTAAAGTGAGTTGAAATCTGTCGTCTATCTGCTATCGACTTTAAATAGATTTAATATTGCCGACGACGTATAAATAGATCAAGCGCGGCATCCAAAGAGTGAAGCCAGCAATTACGCATGCCAGTATAAAAAAAATCAAGCAGTAAATATCTATTCCCGATATAACATTCAAAGTAGCATATTGAACAAATGTGTGAATGATGCAATAATTTAGTCAAACTGTTGATATATTCTTGCGCGGCGTAATTGTTGGTCGCGTCTTTGTATGACGTATGTGCCACTGGAACTAAAGAAAAATATTTTTACTTATTGCTAAATAGAAAGGCCGATTAAAGAGCGGTGTGCGTTCGCTGTATTATTAGGTATCTCGTGGCTACGCGTTGAACATTGACTCAATGTCGTAAGTAGATTATTACCAGCGTGAGTCATGCTCGTAGGCGATGATTCGACCGAGATACCATACATATATTATGATGGTTTATTACATGTTATTCCGAGTCGCATCCTCCTCTATGTAATATATAATAACTTGTAATTTGTACTTTTATAAATTTCAAGATTTCAAAACATAATTTAAAATTTAGTTTATGGATGTGAATAGAATTGAGAAATAATTACGGTAAATTGAAATGAAACTTTCAATTGCAATTCTAACTCGTAGTTCACGTTACTTTGTTATTAACGCACGCATAACGAATGCATGAAATGTGATTAACACTGGAACCGCAGATGAGATTTTCATCCCATTTTAACGCTGAAATCTTTGCAGCTTTTTCACTGATGAGACTCGAATATTTCTGAATTTTCTATAATTTTTTTTAACTTTAGAATGATTTAAAAAATTTCTTATTTGAAAAAAAGAAAGTTTTCTCTTTTCTGCACATGGAGACATTTGATTGCCGCGATTTTTCAGTGTTAATAAACAGCGCGCGCCTGAGACAAATTTTGCCCATCCGTTTGCCCACGGTAGTAAATCCTTTCGAGCACTTTTCTAATGTCCGCTTTGTCCATTTCGCGAGTTTTGCCCGCGGCATCGGAGACAGACGGATGGTCTCCGGTACGGGCTGGGCATCGCATCAGCCACTGTCGACACTCGACTCGACTCGACGATATAACACACACACACCTGCATCGCGCGCTTTTAAGGTTCATCTGTTCGCGTCGAATGACTCTACGACACGAAGTCGTTTATGTCGCCCCCGTCTCCTCCGTCGCTGTTTACGTCCAGCGGCGGCGTCATAGAACACAATGCAATTGCCGTCTAGGTTTCCAGACCTGGCACCAAGCTGTGGAAGGTCTGTATGTCATGGAAGGCGCGGCCGCAGCTCTGGTTGTTGTTGCGCTCGAACTTGGTAAGGTCAAAATGCTCGTCCAGCGACTGCAGCTCGGCCAATCGCTCCTCCAGCGTTTTCGCCGAGTCGGCGAACCTGGCGAAGTCGCAGAGCCGATCGGGATCGACCACATCGGCCACTTCCATCAGGTCGGTGCCCGGTCTCGAGAGCTGTGCGTTCGCATCATCGAGATCCCCGGGGAAAAGCACAGAGTGGCAGCTTGTGTTACTGTCGTTGGTCGTCGTCGTATTAGACGAGTTGTTTGTGTTGCTGATGCCGCTGTCTGATCGCACGTCAACCACGCCGCCGCCCAGACGGTCCTCCGGGAAGCCCAGGTGGTGATTGTTGCTGTGATGCGACGCTTCCGGTTCCGGCTGAATCTCGTCGATGTGCGAGAGCAAGCGCGGCGTCGGCGGCAAAATGTAAAAATCGCTGAATACGTCGTCCTGCAGATCGAGATCGTCGTGCCTCTGCCGCTTGGAACTGAGTCCGTCGTTCCTCGAGTCGTCGGCCAATCTATGTTTAGTAATAAGACGTCACAATTATTTTATCATATAGCAGTGCGGAAGTGGAGCGCGAGAAATCTTCCGAAAAATTTTAGACTGATTATAAAATACAGTTGATTCCAGTTAATTGGGCCATTGGTTAATTGGACTGCCGGTTAATTGAGGCAGCTGTTTATTTTTGGGACAAATCTCCAAAAATAAATCCCGATAGATAAAATGATAAGTCTTTTCTTCGCTTATTTGGAACAACACGCCGTATAATTGGGACACCGTCACACACACGGGAAAACGCTTCATTCAGGGTTTGTGGGTTCATCACCTAGAAAAATTATAACGGTGGATAACACTAATCGCATGTTTACATGCCGTGCTGCTATTCAGTTTGCTATGTTATTTCGAATAGAGATAAAACGGGAGCTATCGTTCTTGTGATAATAACAGAATGAAACAACAACATAGGAAAGTGGAAGCACGTGAAAAATATATTATATTAAATTTTGTTCTTATTCAATTTGTTTGACTAAATAAGTCATAGCTTTGTAAAATGCTAAATTAACTTTTTTATTTTTATTTTATTTTAAAATCAAACTTCGGATAATTGACCGCTTAATTGGGCCAAAATGATACGGCCCGATGTGTTTTAATTAACCAGAATCGACTGTAATCATTGCTATGAGCGCGAATAATATTGTAACTTTACAAATCTAGTTCAATAGTGTTACGACGAGTGTTGGATTTAAAAGGCAAAAAATAATGTAACGCGTCGAAAAATAGTCAATTTTAGAAATCTTAATATTATAAGTTTTAATATTAAAATGTTATAATAATATAATAGATAAACACAGATATTATATCATATAAATTTCTACAAAATTTGTTTCAAGTTGTAATGTAACGACGAATTCTCCGATCATCGAAAATCGAATTTGCTAAATTGATGACGTTGATCATCATCGATGATCGATTGAAATTAAAATTTGGTTCGATACGCACCTTTTTCTGGAGGACGCGTCCTCGTCCACGTCGGCAATGAGGTTGCCAGCGATGCTGTTCTCTTTGCTAGTCTCGTCCATGTACGATGACACTATTGGAAATGCACCGTAATGCCGCGTCTTCTCGTCCCGATTTTCACGTTGCAGCCGTCGCACCGCGTTATTTATGAGCACCGATCGGCACAAGCTTGCCTCGGGATCCTCGATTCTCCTCAATTTGCCGGCAGAGATCTTGAGCAGACGGCGGCGTTCCTCGCGGGCGCGATACTTGGCGGAAATCATTGTGGGTCGAGTCCTACGAATTACCAGATCCTCCTCCAATCTCATTTTAGCGTCTGCAACAAGAGAAGAATTATCCTATTATAAATTGCAATTAATATTATTATTACAAGCTAAGATACTTTATAAACTTTTCGATATGTGAAAATAATATTTTACACACAGAGATCGTCAAACATCTCCCACATAGTTAAGTTCTTAACGCTTTCGTGGTTCGAAACCGAATGAGAAATTTTTTAGGGTACAGAGAATCACTTGTGAGAGAGCATTATCTTTTCCTTAGGTCTAGTTAAGAATTTATCACACAGAATTATCTAAAATTATCAGCATATTTGTATAATCATAAATGGACTAGGAAATTAGAAACTAAACAAACTGGACATGGTATTTTGTTTAATGACTCGATAATAAATCGCTACACGACGCGACGTCTCCTGATTAGAAAAAAAATTTCGGCAAGCTACACTGTAATTTGTAATGGAAGAGACGACATCGGTTCCGCAGTATTCCGTATCCTATTGAGTAAACAATTTCAGCGCGCAATAATATATTATTTATAACGCGTATTTGCATTTTGCAAACTCGTGAATATTCCCGAACGTAATTCTATACATTTTATAGGAGTAAACAGTTTTTAATGGTCGTAATGTATCGTTTACGGTATTTATTGCTCGGTAAAAATTCTTTTTACGGTGCGAATACATTTATAGTTATTACACGGAACGGAGAGAGCATTTTTGTCTCTCTAACGGTATACGCGAAGACGGTAAAACACACGCAAGCGGTTTATGGGGGACAGGTTAGCGGTACGCAAGTACGCGCTTACGCACTCACGTATACCGTGCTCGCGTACTACACGCCGATAATGGACGAGAGGTCTCTTTTTCTTTTCCCCTATCGTCGTCGCCGACGTCGTCGTTCTCGTCCGCGACTGACCCAGTTACACACGGCGCGCTTCCGTCTTTCCGTCGCGGCGCGCAAATAAATCCCGGCCGTCCGCTTCGTCGGAAGGGGAAAAATTACGCACGTACCGCTATCGCGGTGTCTCATAATCGACGATGACGATGACGGCGATACATCAGATTGTTTCGCGGATCGCTGCGCAACTTTGCGAAATCGCGCACTAACGGTCGCGGAAAAATTGTCGCTCATTATTACGGTTAGAGGTTTTCTCCGTTCGATTCCGTTGGAACGATCCGATTTCTAATCCAATTACCTCCTTTTTGAGGAATAATAATATTAAAAATAATACCAAAGTTACAAAGTCATTCATCTTTCAACATATTTTTATAATGTTAGTATTGATGCGGCAAAGCATATTCAAGATTCGAATTGAATCTTTAATATTAAAGGCAAGATATATTTATAGAAAAGTATTTCTCACGTATATTTTAGCACCGTGCACTAATATTCAAATCTGCTTTCCTAAATTTTCTATAAAAGTTCACGCTCCAATTCTGAAGGGAATTAACTAAAATTTTATCGATTACCGTGAATTGTGATTTAAAGTATTTCGTTTCTACATTTTTCCAGTATAAATAGAATAAAATAAAAATAAAAATATACATGTACACGTTGCTGTTCAATCATGCTTGCCGACAGCAATTTTTATTTCGCTATCGTACGTGCTGCTACATTCGCACATTTTCCATGCAGTCTTATCGCCGCCTCGTCTTTAATATTAAAAGAGAAATGTCCTTCTCGTGAGCTCCATTTTCTCTTTATCGAGGGCTGTGCCGTTTATTTCCGTGAAACGTTTTCGTGGGCGAATACTTTAAACCACCATGGAAGTCGCTTCCGACCGGTCGCAGGACCATTTCCGGCTTTCCACGAGAGTATGTAACGCGCGCATGAAATGCAACACTCGAAACCACACCCGATCTTCGCTAATTCCCAATCTCCGATCGATCCTGCGCTCTCACGTGAAAATTGTTGATTCATCGGTCGACGAAATTGACCGGTAGTCATCGTTATCTATTTTTTTGTTGAAGATCCTCCGCTCAATCAATCGCGCGCAACGCTGCACACAACACCTCTGGGGAGTCAATTAAAACCCGTGCGATCGCCACCGAAGATCGATTTTATTTCAACGACGTGACAGAACAGACGCATGTTACATTGCAAGCATTAATTAATTTTTAGAATTTAATTTAAAATTTGGTGCCCGCATCGTGCGCGTCGCGACGGATTTTCCGATCTGTCACGCAAAGTCGGGAGTAATTATTTCTGCGAATAATCGCTTGAATCATACATGCACCCGGAAATCATTGTTGGGAAAACGAGAATTCGCCGTACGGCTGGAAGATGACGCGTGAAGTACTTGCTCGCACGCTCGCAAGGTCGTCGTCGTCGCGCGAAGTAAGTCGCGTCGAAAGAATTCGGCGACACTTGTTGCTAAACCGATCGTGCGTGTCAGAGTAAAAAGGCTCGTATCCCCCCGTGATCTCGAATTCACCCTCGAAGAATGACAGTGACCCGCGATCTCGTCGCTGCGATCGTTTTTTTTCTTCAATTCGAAAACGATCGTCAGCCATTCCACAAAAGTCGCTCGCTCTCAAGCGGAATGGATGTTTACGTAAAGTCTTTATACTTGCGAGAAATTTACATTCTCCCTGGCGATGAGTAGGCTCGAAATAAAAATTGTAACGTAACGAATGCTCAATTACGAAAAAAATATGGTTTATATAATATAAAAATTTTCCATTGAAATTCGAAACACAAGACTTTAAACATCGCTTCATTCTTCCATCTATTCGTATTCGTAATATTATTAACCGTATATGTTAATTTCATTTAATATAATTATATATTAATTAATAAAACATTAGCAAAACAAATCTATACATTGAATACCGTGTCATTAATTTATTATTTTATTGAAAAATTAATATTAATGATTTGAGCGTTTGAAATTGTTAGAAACGGCAAATAGAAATTCGAAGTATGTATACAGTTAAATAAATCATAGGCCGTTTTAATCACTCGAAGGATAATCAAAATCTCACGAATCAGAATAACATTCGATTGGCGGGCGGAAGAAAAGAACAAAAATAAAAAAAACAATTAAGCATTTTATATATATTGGGAACGTGTCGAAGTGTTATTACGCGCGCAATCTTCATCGCTGAAGAGTTACTTAATTTGTCGCTACAAAAAATAGAGCGAGAGTGAGAGAAAGTAACATAAAGAAAAAGGAGTCCTCTGTTTTAGAACAATATCACCAAGGTAATTTTAGATCGTAAATAAAAATAATATATCAAGTGCTGAATAACGTACGAAAAGAAGTTAAATCTTACAATTATTACATACATTGTAATACGAATTAACTTTTATTAAAAAAAAAGATCACAAAGCATCATACATTCTCGATCTATAAGAGAGTGATGCAAAATAACTTTCGAAAGAGCCGATTAATGCAGAAATTCTGTACTCTCGCGTGACGTAAAGTAACAGCACTAAGCAAACTAAGAAGGATTTTTGGCAGACAGTTGTGCGACAATGAGAGAGAGAGAGAGAGAGAGAGAGAGAGAGAGAGAGAGAGAGAGAGAGAGGAGAGAGAGAGAGAGAGAGAGAGAGAGAGAGAGAGAGAGGAAGAGGAGGAGGAGGAAGAGAGACGAGGAGAGAAGAGAGAAAGGGAGACGCGCTGTACGACGAGAAGCGATTTTACGCTCGAGGTGCGCCTAGACTAACTTTCTCTGCGAAGGAAAAACCGCCATGGATACGCGTTACCTAACTCGACGCGCGAAGTCCGCCTTGCAGTCGCTGGCTCGCGCGTCCCTTCACCTCCCCCCCGGGTTCTTCACCCTTTCCCTTCGCGACCATCGTCCCTCCCAACTTCCTCCTTCTCTCGTCGTTTATTTACATACGCTAACACATTGTCGTTGTACTTGCCGGCCTCGCGTGCACTCTTCGTCGTCGTTGTCGCTGTTAATCTCGCGAGAGCGAAAGGCTTTAACGTTACACACCGTCTTGATGCGGTAGGTAAAAGGATGCCGAGCTCTCAAATTTAAGGAGACTGATAAAATGGCACAATTTCTAGAATTAATTGACCTTGCAAAAGTGTATGCGAAATAAAAAGTTTCGAAAACAAATTTTCAACGTAATATTTTAATTTATCCATAAATACTGGAAAAAGTCAGAAATCTTCCTCGTTCTAATTAAATATGGATATCATTTTGAATTATACCCGATAATTATGATAACGCGAAATTTGTGAACAAACAGATTGCATTAGTTGATAGGCAAATAAACGGGATATCGAATTTTAATCAAACAGCATTAAGTAAATTTTGATAATATTATATTGCTATAATTTTTACGATGCTTATCATTAATTCTGATTAATCATAAGGGTAATAATAAAAAAAAAATCGATTTACGCGAGCTTATGAGTAACTACTTTTCGATATCTCTTGCGCAAAATTATCGCGTGTATAGATTATGACGCGACATATAAAATGATATTGCTCAAGATTCCGTGAAAAAATGCGACTTTTTAACGAGGTTTCATCAAGACAGAAGCACATCGTCACGCGCTGGATATTATGTCATTGTCGCGCAGTCTTTGGCAATTAAACGAAGCTCGGAGCTAAATTTAGATTCCCTTGTGCACGCGCGATCTTAATATTAGGTCATCAGAAGAGTACAATAGTATATAAACGGCGTCGATAATCAATTATTAATCTCTCAAAGAAATGGTATGTTAATTAATTAGCATTTCAGAATATATTGCATATCGCTATCCACATATTGTTTATTACGTAACAAAACAAAACAAAACAAAACAAAAAAAAAAAAAAAATACAATACACGTTAAATACATTTTCGAATAATCCTGTTCCCATCGAAATTTAATAAAAAATGCGACATTGGGATATTTTTTATAATTTACGCCGTAAAATAATTGACTTGTTTTAAACAATATCTCTGTGCAGTTACTCGTGCTATAAATAACAGTCCGGTCGTAATACTTGCCAAAAGTTAATGGCGATTTAGTAACAATGTCGGTTCAGTCACGACTATTTGAAAGCGGCAGCAATGGGGCGAACTACCCCCC